GGAGCGCTGTCATGTCGGATGGCCAGCGCTGAGGAGGAGAGAAGCCGCCCCGAGGACTAGCTGTGTCGGCTGCCTGGCGCCTTTGTTGCCATGGCGCCCTGTGCGGCCGCACAGCTCGCACACCACCAAACGCCGGCCCTGAGCTCATTTATAAAAGAGCAGATATTGCCGCACACACCACTGACAATCGCATTCATAAAAATTGGGCAGCACTGTTTAGCTGGTGAAACCCTATGGCATTCTGTCTCCTCAATGAAGGGAGCGCTTTGTGATGGGATGAGAGCCGATTTTCTTTTTAGCATGCATATATATTTATTGCACTGTACCGCCTTAATAGTCCTAACAAATGTGTTTTTTGTACAGTGGTCGTATGCCCATAGTGTGCCCATACTGGTGTTTTTTTAAATTAACCTTTTTGTATCCAATCCTCTTGTAGGCATATCTATAGCCTATGGTATGGAATGTACAGTGCTGTGCCCCTCAATGAACAAAAAAAATTGATTTTACAGGGAGTACAAAATGTTTGTTTTCTTCTGCAGCATTTCATTTAATTTTAATGTATACTGAACTGTGTACTGTACTAAATTAAATCAGTTAGGATGCAAGGTAATTTTTGTTCTTTTATGTAATTATATGGAATGTTTTTTTGTGTATGTTATGTATACAAAATGTAGTACATTTTAGTTTAGCACTTATTGTATTTTGTTGTCCGTAGCGTGGCAAAACTGTTCCAGAAGATCTGGTAAAACCAGAAGAGCTCAGCAAGTATCACCAGGTTTCCTCCCATGTGGTAAGAACCTACAATTTATCATGTTTTCAGTAAACGGTTTTGCCTTACAAAAGTTGGTGCATTTAAAAGTGGGCTGACAGCACAGCATTTTACTGGATGGAATGGTGTCAGGCCTGCTGGCCATCAAGGAGCTAGCCTGGAACTGACCTTCCAGTGTGGGTTTCAGCCCACTTTTAAATGCACCAACACCAGCCAGAAATAGTACTGTGATGGACCCGACCTGACTGGTCCCTCATGTTGACCTAAAAAACCTCCGGAGCCGGATCTGCAGACAAAGAGATGCGCAGCCAGTCTTCCTGCATAGGAACTGCGTGCACTTGTAGGCCGAACTGCAGAGACTACCAGGATCTATATATCCGGCTTGTCAGAAAAAAAACGTGAAAAGTGAAAGAAAAAAAACTGGACCAAAGAGCCCAGCAAAACAAATCTAGGTCCTTCCTTCCTTCTATACGCTAGACAAAAAACGTAATGGGTTGTGGCAGACAGGCGTTTAGCCAGGGGCTGCCCCTGGGTTGGCTTGTGTGTTTTTTGTTTTGTTTTGTATTCCTAGCGTCCTACTCCTCAAGGTACTATTCGGAGTTGCACTGGATACTCTCATCAACAATGCCACAGTTGGCAAATGTTTTCATCTTCCTCAGCCAAAGAAGCCTAAAGATTACTTTTGGAAGGCACACACCTAACTAGACCTAGCTGATTGCTGATTGCTCCTTGCTGATCTCCGTCCGGGCTGTGAATGCAGATGTGTATTACATCACTTCCGCATTCACCTGTCAGTCATCTGGCTGCTATTGCCAGAGAGAAGAAGCTGATAAAGCAGATCTCTGCTTCATCAGCTTCTTTTGGGGTCCATAGGTGGTATTAGGGGTCCTAGAGACCCCTAATATCTCCATAAAGAGGACCTGTCAGTGTGCCTTTGCTATTATATAGGGGGTTGTTATCCCCCTATATAATAGCAATAACTAAGTGCAAAAAAATAAATATAAATAAAAAAAAATAAAAGTAACACATAAAAAAATAAAATAAAAGTCACATATAAAAAAAGGGGAAAAAACCCCCCCAAAATGTTTAACTCCCCCACCCCCACGTTTACGCGCCTATAAACGTAAATACGCGTCCAGTGCCCCAGCGCGCAAAAATTACAATTGCGCTACACATGTTACATATCGCCGCGAACGTCGCAGTGAGAGCAATCATTTTAGGGCCATCAATCACTGATAACACTAAACTGATGAGCGGTAAC